TTTCTAATATCAACTATAAAGAGGAATCCATCAGCCCAACACACTGATGAAAATGTTAACTCAATTTGCGCATCATCGGCAGACATTGAGATATATGTGTGTGTGTGTGTACTCACCTAGTTGTATCCACCTAGTTGTGCATGCGGGAGGTTGAGCTCTTTGGTCCCGCCTCTCAACTGTCAATCAACTGGTGTACAGATTCCTGAGCCTATTGGGCTCTATCATATCTACATTTGAAACTGTGTATGGAGTCAGCCTCCACCACATCACTGCCTAATGCATTCCACCTGTTAACTACTCTGACACTGAAAAAGTTCTTTCTAACGTCCCTGTGGCTCATTTGAGTACTCAATTTCCACCTGTGTCCCCTTGTGCGTGTGCCCCTTGTGTTAAATAGCCTGTCCTTATCAACCCTATCAATTCCTTTGAGGATCTTGTATGTGGTGTTCATGTCCCCCCCCCTATCTCTAATGTCTTCCAGCGAAGTGAGGTTTAATTTCCGTAGTCTCTCCTCGTAGCTCATACCTCTCAGCTCGAGTACTAGTCTGATAGCAAACCTTTGAACCTTCTCCAGTTTAGTCTTATGCTTGACTAGATATGGACTCCATGCTGGAGCTGCATACTCCAGGATTGGTCTGCCATATGTGGTATTCAAAGTTCTGAATGTTTCCTTACATAAGTTTCTAAATGCCGTTCGTATGTTGGCCAGCCTGGCATATGCCGCTGATGTTATCCTCTTGATATGGGCTGCAGAGGACAGGTCTGGCGTGATGTCAACCCCCAGGTCTTTTTCTCCCTCTGACTCTTGAAGAATTTCATCTCCCAAATGATACCTTGTATCTGGCCTCCTGCTTCCTACCCCTATCTTCATTACATAACATTTGCTGGGGTTGTGTGTGTGTGTGTGTGTGTGTGTGTGTGTGTGTGTGTGTGTGTGTGTGTGTGTGTGTGTGTGTGTGTGTGTGTGTGTGTGTGTGTGTGTGTGTGTGTGTGTATGTGTGTGTGTGTGTGTGTGTGCGCGCGTGTGTGAAAAAAACATTGTATAACTAGCTTCATAAAATTGCTACTTGCTTAGCTCAATGAATAATAAGGGTACAGTACTAACCCCACACCACTAACCTCAGGAACCCCATAACAATCCACTTAATAAATTACTTAGAAACAATCTAACGACCCAACCATCTGGAGGGTGAGGGAGCTCCCCCCCTCCTCCCCCGGGCCGTCACTTAGAGAAACAAACCCGTTCACTCTGATACTTCTTTCCACCCCCCTCTCCCTTCCCCTCCCTGGTCAAGCAGCCGATGAGTGGGTGCATTAGCCGAGATCTGGGAGAGGGTGGGGGGGGGGGGGGGGGGTTAAATGGGGGGGGGGGAGTGGAGTGGAGAGATCATATGGTTTCGTTTATTTCCTGCCCTCTGGTGCGCTGGTGGTAGACAAAGACCGCAATTGAATTGCTAAAGAACTTTGAAAAAGCAGTGGAAAATAAGTGAAAATAAACTCAAGTTGCAGATAATACACATTGCGCCTTGCATGGTTGCATATACCCCTCCCCCCCCCCTTCCCCTTGTATGGTTTATGTACGAACAACGGTTTACACACAACTGATAACGTTCGAACACTCCTCGAACAAGTGCTTTACTGACGACTTGTGTTCGAACCACAACGCTATAAATGCTTCACCCACGTACTACAAATACAAATAATCGCCAACAGAACCTAAACACCTAACCTAACCTAACCTAACCTAACCTAACCTAACCTAACCTAACCTAACCTAACCTAACCTAACCTAACCTAACCTAACCTAACCTAACCTAACCAATGCCTATATATGCACAATATGCTAAATATACATTAATAATATTAATTTATATTTGAGAAAATTCCTATTTTGAATGAACAAGATGTTCAAATATATAAATGCGTCATTGGGGTCGACAGCTGGATGGAATGGACTTGATCTGAGGACGGGTCGCGTATATAAATAATTACCAACAGAACCTAAACCCCTAACCTAACCATACGCCTAACTATACCTAGAACTTTAATATATATATATATATATATATATATATATATATATATATATATATATATATATATATATATATATATATAATACAATTAAATTATAAGAACAAATCTGTTTTTAATACCCAATTTGTTCAAATTTATAAATATATCTTTAGAGGGGGAAGGCCACTACTTTGTTCATGCTTTGTTCATTCTTGTTCACACATGTGTGCTGTTGGTCTCTGTTTTATTCCTCACTATAGCTGGCTCCGTGGCTTCACAAGAGCATTCCTCGTTGTGCATTTGGATGTCAGGGTTGGATAATCATCTTGAGAGTAGAGATATGGGGTTCGGAGTGTGTTATCAGTTGTGCACTCCTTGAAGGTGTGATCTCTGCACTCTGACCTCAAGGTGTGACCTGTACTCTGACCTCAAGGTGTGACCTGCACTCTGATCTCAAGGTGTGACCTGCACTCTGATCTCAAGGTGTGACCTCTGCACTCTGACCTCAAGGTGTGACCTGTACTCTGACCTCAAGGTGTGACCTGCACTCTGATCTCAAGGTGTGACCTGCACTCTGATCTCAAGGTGTGACCTCTGCACTCTGACCTCAAGGTGTGACCTGCACTCTGACCTCAAGGTGTGACCTGCACTCTGACCTCAAGGTGTGACCTCCTGCACTCAGCACATACATTAACTCCCTTATTGGGGCTGCATAGAGCTAAGTGGGCATTCTGAGAACCTGCCCAACATGTTCTATTGCAATTCTTCCTGCTCTGTGTCCCTAGTGGTATAGGTGGGATTTTCTGGTGGTGATGAGGGGGTGGTGGAGAGGAAGGGGTGATGTGGGGTGGGGGAGAGGGAGGGGTGTTGGGGGGGGGGGTGTTGGCACAATAGTCTTGGCTCATGGCCCCTCATCAGCTGTAATTGCAGATGAGTCCATATACACGTCAGCAGGTCCTGAGGCTAGAGACGGTGTGTGTGTGAGAGAGAGAGAGAGAGAGAGAGAGAGAGAGAGAGAGAGAGAGAGAGAGAGAGAGAGAGAGAGAGAGAGAGAGAGAGAGAGAGAGAGGGGACACAACAAAAGCCATATATATATATATAGACAGGTTGAACAGCGTATCAATAGGGGGCGTTATATGTGAGTTATAAGTTATAAGTATTCAATGGACTCCATTGAACACAAAATGGCTATTTTCTCAAGAGTTTAAATAGGGGAGATAAGGGCATCAAGGGTGGCAGGAAAATGGGGGAAAAGGGGCGTCACCAGGGGTGGGGGGAGGAGGGGGGGGGCAGAAAAGGGGCGCCAAAAGGGGAAGAGAGAAATTATGGGTTAATAAAAGAGGGTGTGAGAGGGGGAGAAAGATCAGGGAGGGAGGGGGGCTGTGGGGGGGGGGGGGTTCTCCTCCTGTGAGTGATCACAACTCACCTGGTGGGGGGAAGGGGGGGGGGTGTAGGCACGCACAGGTGGGGGGGAGGGGGGTGTACTCACCTATTGATGCCTGCAGGATCGAGTATTAGCTCTTGGGCCCCGCTTTTCTCTCTTCTAATGCAAGGACTCCTTGTCCTTGTGAATGGAGTTTGCTTGTACTCTCTGTTTCTTTAATTTATTCCGTTTTTCCGTTATTCTTAAGCTAAAAGAAAATTTTTCTAGCATCTCTGTGGTTCATCTGGGTCTCAAGCTTCCATCCATGTTCTTTTGTTCCTATTGGAATAGTGTTCATTGTGAACATTTCCTCTTTTTAATGAACAAATCCACAAGGGCCGTTATCTTGAGGTTATCTTGAGATGATTTCGGGGCTTTTTAGTGTCCCCGCGGCCCGGTCCTCGACCAGGCCTCCACCCCCAGGAAGCAGCCCGTGACAGCTGACTAACACCCAGGTACCTATTTTACTGCTAGGTAACAGGGGCATAGGGTGAAAGAAACTCTGCCCATTGTTTCTCACCGGCGCCTGGAATCGAACCCAGGACCACAGGATCACAAGTCCAGCGTGCTGTCCGCTCGGCCGACCGGCTCCCTAGGATTCGAATCTACGACTGAGAGCCTGCATCTCGGACGCAGGTTCGAATCCTCGTCACTGCCCTTGTGGATTTGTTCATTTGATGCATCACGCTATTGTGATTTCTGTGTGTAGTTTCCTCTTTTTTTTTTAATTCTGTCAGTCACCCTAAGTATTTTATATGTCTTTGTCATGTTACCCTTCTCTCTCTCTCCTATTTGTCGTCGTCAAGTTTAGTTCCTTCAGTCTCTCTTCATACCCCATCTCTCGCAATCCTGGGACCAGCCTTTGTTGCAAGCTTCTGAACCTTTTCGAGTTTCCTTAAGGGATTTTTAAGATGGGTTCTCCACGATGGGGCGGCATACTCCAAGACTGGTCTCACGTAGGTGATGTAAAGTGATCTAAATGACTCCTTATTAAGGTTCCTGAATGATGTTCTGACTTTTGCCGGAGTAGAGTATGTTGCTGACGTTATATTATTTATATAATACTTCTGTGTTAAGTTTGATGTTATGTCCACTCCCAGGTCTTTTTTCTCTAGGCGTGCAACCTGTCCTCTTAAAAATAACGTCGCTTTTGGCCATTTACCCGTATGGCCGAAAGTGGACGTAATTTGAAAATGAAAAAAAATGAAAATATATTTGGGATTTTTTTTCAACAATAGTAAGTTAAGGGTCCTCTGATAGGTTAGGTGGGCAGGAAATTCTCATAAAGTTTCAAAACGTTATGAAAAACGTTAAATGATAGTTTCCTCTTCTAACCTTACATAGTAAGCCGGACGACTCAAACAGAAAACGGGACAGTGCGTCACTTTTGTGAGTCGATTTCATTTCAACTTACGTCCAAATCTGACCATAGTGCGCATACGAGCGGAAAGCGACGTTATTTTTAAGAGGACGGGTTGTATAGAGAGGCAGTTCCTCAGTCGTATTTTGTCCAATTGATCTCCTGTTCCCATTTCCATCACTTTAGAAGATAGAGACACAGATGGAAGACAAGAGACACAGATGGAAGACAGAGACACAGATGGAAGACAGAGACACAGATGGAAGACAGAGACACAAATGGGAACCAGAGACACAGATGGAAGACAGAGACACAGATGGAAGACAGAGACACAGATGGGAACCAGAGACACAGATGGAAGACAGAGACACAGATGGGAACCAGAGACACAGATGGAAGATAGAGACACAGATGGAAGACAAGAGACACAGATGGGAACCAGAGACACAGATGGAAGACAAGAGACACAGATGGGAACCAGAGACACAGATGGAAGACAAGAGACACAGATGGGAACCAGAGACACAGATGGAAGACAAGAGACACAGATGGGAACCAGAGACACAGATGGAAGACAAGAGACACAGATGGGAACCAGAGACACAGATGGAAGACAGAGACACAGATGGAAGACAGAGACACAAATGGGAACCAGAGACACAGATGGAAGACAGAGACACAGATGGAAGACAGAGACACAGATGGGAACCAGAGACACAGATGGAAGACAGAGACACAGATGGGAACCAGAGACACAGATGGAAGATAGAGACACAGATGGAAGACAAGAGACACAGATGGGAACCAGAGACACAGGCGGGAGACAAGAGACACAGATGGGAACCAGAGACACAGATGGAAGACAAGAGACACAGATGGGAACCAGAGACACAGATGGAAGACAAGAGACACAGATGGGAACCAGAGACACAGATGGAAGACAAGAGACACAGATGGGAACCAGAGACACAGATGGAAGACAGAGACACAGATGGAAGACAGAGACACAAATGGGAACCAGAGACACAGATGGAAGACAGAGACACAGATGGGAACCAGAGACACAGATGGAAGATAGAGACACAGATGGAAGACAGAGACACAGATGGGAACCAGAGACACAGATGGAAGACAGAGACACAGATGGGAACCAGAGACACAGATGGAAGATAGAGACACAGATGGAAGACAAGAGACACAGATGGGAACCAGAGACACAGATGGAAGACAAGAGACACAGATGGGAACCAGAGACACAGATGGAAGACAAGAGACACAGATGGGAACCAGAGACACAGATGGAAGACAAGAGACACAGATGGGAACCAGAGACACAGATGGAAGACAAGAGACACAGATGGGAACCAGAGACACAGATGGAAGACAAGAGACACAGATGGAAGACAGAGACACAGATGGAAGACAGAGACACAGATGGGAACCAGAGACACAGGCGGGAGACAGAGACACAGATGGGAACCAGAGACACAGGCGGGAGACAGAGACACAGATGGGAACCAGAGACACAGATGGAAGACAAGAGACACAGATGGGAACCAGAGACACAGATGGAAGACAAGAGACACAGATGGGAACCAGAGACACAGGTCGAAGACAGACAAACACATGACATACAGGGATGTCAAAATACACTTTCCCAATAAAATAATAATTTTCTATACAAAAATATCACACAAATCGAACGAACTATAGCCAATGAAGTAGTTGATATAACTGCACCAGGTCCAATAAATCCGAGGCGGAGCTCCAGAGCCAAGTCTCGCTGCCCCTAGAGTCAACTAGCTAAGCACAACTAGGCAACCACCTGCCCCCCCTTCCCCCCCACTCGCCCAACACCCGCACGCACGCTCAGAGTTTAACGATCGTGATTCCTGTCTAATTCACACATGAAATAGACTCGACTTTGATGCGCATGTGTTTGAGTCTCTACAAACGACTTGGCTCACGCACTCGTCCTGATCAGTGCACATACCTGGCTCGCCAACCACAGCCAAACAAGGCATACATACACACACACGCGCACACGGCGCTGCACTGAGCGGCACTTCTGATTGGCTATCTGAGGCGACATTCCCGAGGGAGTTATATGGAGTTGTAATCTGTTGCAATCTGCTCCTTGAGTGCGGAATCTCATTCTGACATTTGAAACCTTCTGTTAGCAACTGGGCAGTGAAACAATTCAGAGTGCAGCCAATCAGGAACGTCTGCCTGTGCAGCCAATCAGGAATGTTTCTCTATAGCCAATCGGTAAAGTTTGTCTATACATCCAATCAGGAATGTCTCTCCACGTAGCCAATCTGGAATGCCTTCCAATGTAGCCCATTCAGCAATCAGAAATTCCTCTCCATACAGCCAATCAGAAGGGAAAGGGAACTATCAGGAGAAGCGTCAAGCCATTACGACTATATAGCACTTGGAAGGGATCAGGATAAGGATTTGGGACGGGACGGGGGGAAATGAATAGTGCCCAACCACTTGTGGACGGTCGGGGATTGAACGCCGACCTGCATGGGGTAACACCGTCGCTCTACCGTCCAGCCCAAGTGGTTGGATAACTACAAGTGATAACTAGTGATAAGTGATAAGATTAACCAGAAATTTCCAAGTAACATAATACACGTGGGACCCGTGGATTGACCCAAGGATCCCACGTGTATTATCTATCCCGCTATCCATCCATGTATCCATCCGCCTATCCATCCATCCATCCGCCTATCCATCCATCCATCCGCCTATCCATCCACTTATTTATCCAACTACCAATCTATAGTCTGTCTCTGTCTCTGTTTCTAGCTGTCTTTTTCTGTCTCATTAAAAATATAATTGTTTAATGTGTAGGTGAACAGCAGTAAGAGGAGCTAAGGGGCGTGAAATACTATAAAATATAATGGTTACCCCTTACTCTGGTAAAGGTCAATAGTCACCCCTTACTCTGGTAAAGGTCAATAGTCACCCCTTACTCTAGTAAAGGTCAATAGTCATCCCTTACTCTAGTAAAGGTCAATAGTCATCCCTTACTCTGGTTAAGGTCAATAGTCACCCCTTACTCTGGTTGAGGTCAATAGTCACCCCTTACTCTAGTAAAGGTCAATAGTCACCCCTTACTCTAGTAAAGGTCAATAGTCATCCCTTACTCTGGTTAAGGTCAATAGTCACCCCTTACTCTGGTTGAGGTCAATAGTCACCCCTTACTCTGGTAAAGGTCAATAGTCACCCCTTACTCTGGTTAAGGTCAATAGTCACCCCTTACTCTGGTAAGGGTCAATAGTTACCCCTTACTCTGGTAAAGGTCAATAGTCATCCCTTACTCTAGTTGAGGTCAATAGTCACCCCTTACTCTGGTAAAGGTCAATAGTCACCCCTTACTCTGGTAAGGGTCAATAGTCACCCCTTACTCTGGTAAAGGTCAATAGTCACCCCTTACTCTGGTAAAGGTCCGTGACTTGAGAAACTTTTCACGCTGTGTCTATTTTATGGGACTACGGGCAAATTATTGATAGCCGGAAATTTCTGTTTATTTTCATAAGATCAGCGAATAATGTTGCTTATATTACTAAAAGAAGCAAGAGACCTTTTCAAAAGGTTGTTTTCGAAACTATTCAGTTGTTTAGGTTGCGGAGAGTGCGCAGAAATTATCGTGAGGGGGGGGGGAAGAGGGAGATGAATGTGGATGAATGTGTACGTTGTTCCTTGTTTAGTTCTGACCAACCTATGTTCGTCCCATACCTCAGACTATTCCCCCTGCCAATTTTTTTAAATATACCACTGGCCGCAAACTGTATATGTATACCCTATAGTACCATTGTATATGTATATACGGTACTTTATAAAGCCCATACATCATACAACAACAACAACAATAACCAATCCTCTAAAAGCACCTTAATTCCAAGAAATATGATTAAAAATGGAGCAAAAAAGGTAGGGTTTGTTAGGCAAATATAGCAGGCATTAAATTATGTCTCCCTCTTCCCTCCCCCTATCCCTCCCCTCTTCTCCCCTCCTTCTTAGCTCCCCCTTTTGCCTATTTCGAGGAGAGGGTTTATCCTTCTCGAGTCTCGAGTCTGAGGGTGAGCTGGTACTTGGCTGAGTGCAGAGAGAGAGAGGGGGGAGGAATAAGCCAGGGGGAATGGTAAAATATTGCCCCCTTCCCCTCTACCCCCCACCCCAATAACTCCCCCCTCCCTTCCTCCCCCTCTTCTGAAGCAATTATGCAACATAGTCTGGCCTGATGCAATTGCTAAATGCAGCTTAAGTTCTTCGCTGCAAGCCATTGCAAAACAAGTAAGCAAGGGGTTATGGGTTGTGGGGGTTGTAGTCACCTAGTTGTGCGTTGGAAGGGGGGGGGGGGTTGAGCTCTGGTTCTTTGGTCCCGCCTCTCAACCGTCAATCAACAGGTGTACAGGTTCCTGAGCCTACTGGGCTCTATCATACCTATATTTGAAACTGTGTATGGAGTCAGCCTCCACCACATCACTTCCTAATGCATTCCATTTGTCAACCACTCTGACACTATAAAAGTTCTTTCTAATATCTCTGTGGCTCATTTGGGCACTCAGTTTCCACCTGTGTCCCCTTGTGCGTGTGCCCCTTGTGTTAAATAGACTGTCTTTATCTACCCTATCAATTCCCTTCAGAATCTTGAATGTGGTGATCATGTCCCCCCTAACTCTTCTGTGTGTGTGTGTGTGTGTGTGTGTGTGTGTGTGTGTGTGTGTGTGTGTGTGTGTGTGTGTGTGTGTGTGTGTGTGTGTGTGTGTGTGTGTGTGTGTGTGTGCTCACCTAGTCACCTAGTTATGCTTGCGGGGGGCTGAATTCTGGCTCTTTGGTCCAGATTTCAATTCCTTTGAGCTCTTGGTCTCTTTGGTCTCTTTGGTCTTTGAGTGTGTGTGAAGAGTAAAAAATGGATAAAAAGTGGCAGCAATATAGATGAATAAAGACGAATGTTGAGTAAACACAAGAATGATTCAGGAATGATTCAAGTTTGCCATAAGGGATGAGTAAGAATAACTCACCAGCAGTGGGACATATCGAAGGACATATCCGAACAATTCCCCTCAAACAAATCAATCCAGAGAGTGACCGCTGAACCGGACAGCGGTCATTGAAGGGTAGGTACCGGTGGCCGGTTAAGCGGGCCGGTAAATACTCCGGATTACGCGTAATGGCCGCTGTGGGCCAGTAGGGGCATTACGTGCAAAAGGGGCCTCAGAAGTGTGTTATTAAGAGTCACAATCACACATCTTGTTACAGGAAGTGAGTCATTATGGATTTAGCTGGATTAACCTTTTTACGGACCTGGCTGTAATGGAGATGCATGAAAATGCCTGCAATAAATGACGTGCGGAATACTAGGGAACCGCTGTGTGTGTGTGTGTGTGTGTGTGTGTGTGTGTGTGTGTGTGTGTGTGTGTGTCTGTGTGTGTGTGTGTGTGTGTATTCACCTAGTTGTGTTTGCGGGGGTTGAGCTTTGCTCTTTCGGCCCGTCTCTCAACTGTCAATCAACTGTTTGTGTGTGTGTGTGTGTTTGTGTGTGTGTGTGTGTGTGTGTGTGTGTGTGTGTGTGGGACGCAGGACCTCGTCTCAAGCCATCTCATATCACCAATAATTTTCATATAAACGTAATATATCCCTGTTTTTTTTTCTCTCTCGGTTTACAGAAACGCGAGAAATTACAATGTCCGGTTCGTGCCTCGCGGAAGGAAATTACTGCCTCATTAGCTGGAATATCTTACACAGTGCCTCGAACCAGCCTATTATCTCGCGCTCGCGAATTACGATCCGTTCTGGTATTCCTCAGGGCGACAATTGTTGACTGCAATCACCAATAAAACACCTAACTAGCCACCCACCGCTGAAATTACCCTCCATCAAGCACACGCTAGGAATGTCAACTCCAATCAACTGTCAACCCGTAAGACTCGTCAATCAGACTTGCTAATCCAACCCCATCCATTTGACATATCTCGTCAGAAAAAAAATCCGCAAATTATAACGTCTAATGATTAGTTTCACACCCTGATGTGTGTTAATTTTGACAACATATGTCACCTGTGACGAGCTGGAAGCCCAGGCTGTCATTCCAGGTCTTACGGGTAATCAGGGAGTCTTACGGCGACCACAAGCTGTCGGAATGATGGTTCGGGGGTGGGGGGGGGGTGAAGTAGGGGACAAAAGGTAGTTTATAAAACAAAGGTGGAAGAGAAAAATTAAATGCAAAGTACGAACATTATAATGTCTGTGAGAGAGAGAGAGAGAGAGAGAGAGAGAGAGAGAGAGAGAGAGAGAGAGAGAGAGAGAGAGAGAGAGAGAGAGAGAGAGAGAGAGAGAGAGAGAGAGAGAGAGAGAGAGAGAGAGAGAGAGAGAGAGAGAGAGAGAGAGAGAGAGAGAGAGAGAGAGAGAGAGAGAGAGAGAGAGAGAGAGAGAGAGAGAGAGGATGATATCGAACTTCAAAATCTGAGACTGCAGATTGATAGCGACTGCAAAATCTTAGACTGGAGGGTGATATCGAACTCCAAAATCTGAGACTGGAGGATGATATCAAACTCCAAAATCTGAGACTGGTGGATGATAGCGACTCCAAAATCTCAGACTGGAGGGTGATAGCGACTCCAAAATCTCTGACTGGAGGCTGATATCGAAC